ATCTTCCATTTTCTACACAAGACACGTATATAATGCCTAAATTTTGAGATCTTTCAATCCTTTTTTTTTTCCAAACAAATTAATAAATCTTGTTAAGTGCAAACATCTTATACATTAGCATGTCTTAGGAATACAAAATTTTCAGGTACCAAACTTCAACTAAAGACATGTTACGGGGAATCCAACAATGGCACGCCATCCTCATGCAATTTTCATTACTTTTTCATTTACTTTATTCAGATTTAAATCCTCATATTTATGAATTTAAGTAAATTTTTCTTTTTTATTATTTTTCTCATTTTATTATTTTTATAAAAGATAGTAAAATATTTTTTTTTCTCTTTGAAAAAAGATAAATTTCACAAAAATTTATAGATCTCAATTTCAACAATTTAAATCCACCTCGTCTCCATCATTATCATTGCTTAGAAGAATCCGTTTATTTCTTTGTTAACATCAGATTCTTTATCCCAATATTACCTTTACGAGCAATTAAAATGCCCAGTTACTTTTTTTTAGGAGCAAACAATATTTTTAAGTCAATAAAGATGTAAGAATACCCATAAATTGGTTATAATAGGTACAACAATTTTCATTTTGTTAAATTTGACTCCGTCTGTTACAATGACTATTTAAAAAGAAAAAAAAGAGGCAAACATAAGGTGTAAAAACACTCAATTTTTTTTCTGTAAGAGCTATCTTTAAGTCAATAATGATACATGGATATACATTAACTTTATAAAACAGACAATATAGCTAAGTTCAACTCTAACAACTCGGGCTTTAGAGCTTATTGAAATTAGTCTGAATAACTAAATTATTAAATATTATTTTTTTAATCAATTTCTGTAATGACTCATGAATTTAGAATTTTGTTAAGTATACAATAATTTTTTTAAAAAAAAACAGGGAAATGATTAGACCTCTCATTTCATATTTGCATAAAAATAATAATAAAATAAAATATTAAATTATTTTTATAAATATTTTGACTTTTTTAATAAAATTATTGGGTAATCATAATAAAGTGAATTGGTGGTGTAATGAGATTTGTTTTGGGTCTTTAATTGTCGGTTCAGGTTTTGAATTTGGGTGATGATAAAAGTGATATTTTATATTTACTTTAGTACTGCAAAATTATAGAAAAAGCCATTACTGTTAAAGAAAAGGAGAAAAAACCATCAGAATTTTTGTTCTCCATTACCGTGAAGTGTAACCAAGAGAGAGGGAGAGAGGATGCGTTTGAGAAGCTCTGGATCGAGAAGCTTCCATCCTCTGTTCTGATCGTCCGTTGCCTACGAATAAGGGTGTGCCGTCGGTCACTATTGTGGGTTCTGGGAAGTTCACGAAATCTCTGCTCTTCCTCCTGTGTTTCTGCATATAAGTCCATCCTTCTTCTTCCTTCCCCTGTTCTGCATCGGTACTGTTTTGGGTGAGGTGGGGAACTTCAAATCTTTCTATCCATTCCTCCTTTGCTCCTTGGTGAGTTCAAGCTTTATCCTCCCTCTTCTTGACGTTAGATTTGTGTGTGTTTTATGCTTTGGGAGGTTGCTGAAATTTTTATTCTTTCCCTGTATTAGTTACTGTGCGTGTAAGGGAAAGATTGTGGATCTAACAAGTTTAAATTCAAGACTAGGAAAAATTTCAGTTTTGTTTGAATGGATGTTTTTTTTTTAAGACATGAGTTTGGGAGGCATGATAAGTTTATATAGAAGTATAAGAATTGCTGAGTAAGAGATTTGTAGAGAAAGAAGCTTGATACTATAGTTTGAATATTACTGTCCATGTGGTATTTGTTGAAATGCGTGCGTTATATATGAATGTGTATGTATATGTATATATTGTGTGACGGAAATTATTGGGAAAAGATTTGAAAAAGAAGGAGCTTTGTATTATAGTTGAAAATTAACGTACATAGCGTGTTTGCTAAAATGTGTAATAGAGGAATTTGATTGAGATGGAGCAGTTAAGCACGTTTATTATATCAATGGCTGGAATTAGATTTCCGATGTTCAATTTCTATGTTAATAACTTAGAAATGTATAAATATTTCTTGAATATATATATATATATATATATATTCATTGTAGTGCAAAGTTTGGGTTGATAAAATGACATAATAAACCTTGACACATGTCTAAAAAGAAGAATGGTAGATTTTCTTTTAAATTTGTTAATGTTTAGACCAATGATTATCTATGGTTATATATATATATATATATATATTAGTGATTAATTTCAATCTTGCCTTTTCCATAAGGAAAGTAGGTTAAGCTATTCTTTTAAATTATTACTAATTTCAATCTTATCATGCACTTAGAATGGGAAAGTATCTAGTGAGTTGTTTGAAGAGTAACCTTAAATAATTTAAGGAATTTGGGTTGCTGAATGTCTATTGGCGATATATAAAGTATAGTCATCATTAAATAAAATTGTTTGTTCTCCTTGGCCACATAGTAGAGCAGCCAACGGCTTTTGTTTAAAAGGAAAAATCATTATCTTGGAAACCTATCAGGTAAGTGGATAGCATCCCAACTAATTAATCAATAAAATTATATTATGTATTTAATATTTTATTAATTAAATTATTTTTATTTTTATTTTTATCTTGAAAATTATAAAGAGATATTGAAGGATATTTGAATTATGGTATGTGTATGTGCTTTTTCTTACCAAAGATACTTTCAAATCGATAAGATTATTTTTATTGACTCTGGTTATTTTTTGGTTACTCAATAAATGCCAAACATGGACATTAGTTATGAAATTTTATTTGGCTAGTTTTTAAATGCTCAAAACTATTAATGTGAGTTTGACTTTAAGAATGAGAACTGTATTTGATAATGATGATTTTCTCGCATGTTTGAAAATATATTTGAAGGAGATTTTATACAGGACACTTCCGTTAGCCCTTAGCGCACCATGTTTAATGACTAATTAGTTTGATTTTCGTGAGCTCTGTTCTCACATTTATTATTTATGGGTCTAATACTCATGTTTGTTTTCGTGGTTTTGAGCCGCATTTGGTTAGTATTACCTTCATGGATTGTGTGTCTACGTTTATCTTTATGGTATAAGTTGCGTTTGATTATGTATCCTCGTAGACTGTATGTCCTCATTTGTAAATTGATCTAATAAATTTCCAAAAATACAAAATTTTAATTAAGTGATTATTTCATATTTTCATCATTTTTCTTTGAAATTGTAAATGTTATTTATTTATTTAATCTATTTGTCTTGTTAAGCTTATATGTTAAAATTACTTTGTTATGAAGATCTAAAGGTTCATGCTATTAAAGTTGTACATAAATTTTTATTCCAAATTTACAAATTTTATTATATTGAATTGTTTCTTTTTAATTTTCATAACTGTTGTAAATTATTCATTTTTATGTTTTTAAATATTATGGTTGGGATGTTTTTCATTGAAAAATTATTTTTGGGCTCAGACACTTTAACGCTGATCCTCCTACCAACCCTTAAGGACTTTTACACGTGTTGGGTGGAAAGTTGATTGAAATACCTCCTTTCGATGTAATTATAAATACTCATGTATTTTTTTTTTGGAAAGCATGAATAGGGGCTCCACATAGGTCAATTAGGATTTTATTTTGATATATATATTGTCTGCTGGTTGGAAGGAGTTGAACTCCTAAATGATGTGATGTTTCTGTTTAAAACAATATGTTGTAGAATTTTTGAGAGATCCTATTTATAGGGAAAGGTTTGTCAAAATTTTTATAAAAATATTGAAACTTTGTTATAATGACTAGTGTCAAAGGTGTTAAAGTTTCAATATAAATTTGATTACATTTTAGAAATGCACTTAATTTATGATTTGAGGCTTACGGGGATGGGTGATATGGTTCACATCCCGTGTCGGTTATTCTCTATTTTTGGAGTGTGACAATTTCAATTTTTATCATAAAAAATTAAGATTTTTAATTTTTATCTATTTTTATTTTTATTTTATTAATAATAAAAATAATTTTGTTATAAGAAAAGTTTCTAAACTCCCAAATTTGGTCCTAAAATTTTTTGAGTTTATTTGAGTTAGCCTATTAGGCTTGACCCAAATCACCAACTCTAATCTTTCTTAATGCGTTAAAATAGCTTGACATTGATCATAAAGTTCTAAGAAGAGAACTTAAATAATTGGAGAATGTTGACCTATTTTATAAAATTAATGATTACCCATGTACCATTATTAACTTTAAAATACCAGAAGCTACTTGACAAAAAATTTATGGATATTTTTGCACCTTATGTTTGTTTTTTGTTTTTTTTAATGTTAGTCAAATTTAATGGAATGGGGATTTTTGCACTAATTAAAACAAGTGTTCATGGGTACTTTATTGTAGGGCGTGTCTTCTAAGAGGGTTTTGGGTTTTTAATATTAGGTACTTGATATGGTATTATTAATTAAGATTTGTTTAATATTATCTATATTTATACTCACAATGATAGAAAATATAAATTATATTTGAAATTTTTTTATTTAAATAGGGGTAAAATTGAAAGTTTAATACTATTTTCAGACATAGTTAATAACCTAATTACCTCTCATTGATTCCAGATGTCTTATAATAAAGAATAGAAAAAGTATTTGCTAATATAAATTAATTTTCATATAATCACTACAATTCTTGTTTATTTTACTTGATCACTTGAATAGTGCTTGAATTTCCTTAAAGCAATGAAAATAAAGAGCTTATAAGGACTAAAGAAGTTCGGAAAGAAGAGCAACAAGACAAGAAAAGCAGAGCACTACGGAAGGAACAAAAACAAGAGAACAAAAATAGAATAAGAAAACTCAACTTCATATGTCAAGTTGTGAAGGATATGAGAAGCAAGACTTTGCCACCTCCAATCACAAGTGTTCAGGTTGGCCAGATTTGATCAGCTTCATGAAGCCAAGATTATGGGTTTCAATTGCAACTCTTGAATGGATAAAAAATATTCTGCTACATCACTAGCAAGCTCAAATTGATCTCATTAAGATTTCTACCATATTCTCTTGATTCTGGCAAGTCTTATTGCTATTGCAACATATATTTCATCATCTATTTTCTCCACATATCTAAAACAAGCAAACCTTAAACACTTGTTGAAAAACAGGACCCGAATAGTTCCCTTGAATCCTATCATGAAACTAAGGGCAACAATAAAGTAAAACAGGATCTTTTCTTTCTTGTTGCTGTCATCATTGCCTTCAGAAGTTGGAGCTTCATTATTGTCATCACAGGAGCATTTTTTCAACATAGGTTCTCCACACAGATATTGATTTCTAGCATAAATGGATGAATCCTCAAGAGTGAAGAACTGGTTTCCCTCTGGAATTGGCCCTAAAAAGTTGTTGTATGATAGATTCAAGTGGCTTAGTGATGTTAAAGAAGACATGCTACTTGGAAGTGGGCCTTCAAGTTGGTTCCTTGAGAGGTCCAGTGATTCTAGAAACTTCATTTTCCCTATTTTGCTTGGAATTTCTCCTAATAAAGAGTTGTGTGATAAATTCAAGCTAACCAGTCCAGTAAGAGAAGTTAAAACTTCTGGTATAAAGCCAACAAGGTTGTTGCTTGACAAGTCCATGTTAATTACAAACTTGAGATTTTTTGTGAAATCAAGTCTCTTCCTTTCATGAATTGCTTGACATCTTTTTCCCATTGATCAAAGCTAGAAATATATGATGGACTAAATGTTGGGGCAGGACTAAATGCAAGTGGTGCAATAGATAATTCAACAGGAGGTTGAGAATCTTCAGCTGCCTTTGATCTACTATGCAATGCGTGTATCATTCCCTTCAGATTCTGAATGCAAAATGGAATTGTGCCATTTAAGTTGTTACTTGCCAAATCCAAGCTTTGCAAGTAAGTGAGTTGGCAGAGGCTTGATAAGATACTACCACTAAATTTGTTTTGGCGAAGCCTGAGAATTTTCAGCCTAATAATACCTTCCCATTTGCTTGAAGGTATAATGCCATATAGTTGATTGTTGCCAAGATCCAAAATCTCCAACCAGTAGCAAGATCGCAAGGTTGATGGAAGCTCTCCATGTAAACTATTGTTGCTCAGGTTCAAAGATTGAATAAACCAATAAGAACCGCAAAATGATTGAGAAATAGCGCCTGATAACTCATTTGATGATAGATCTATCAATTCAATGGATTCAATTTCACCCAAATAGCTAGGAATCTTCCCAGATAATTTGTTCTTTAACAAGTTCAAATCTTGAAGGCTTTGCAATTTACACAGTGATTTTGGAATAGAACCATTCAAAAGATTATTACTAAGGAACATACTGGTTAAATTCAAAATCATATTATGGAGATTTCTTGGGAGTTGTCCATTAATCTCGTTGTTGGAGAGGTCTAGCACAAAGAGATTCTCTTGTTGAAACCATGCTGGGAGGGTTCCCCAAAGGCTAGTGTTTGATAAGTCTAAGTTGACGAACTTCTTTTGGCTTTGAAACCACTGAGGAAATGGTGTCCCAATTATACAAGATGACAAATTAAGATTTATCAATTGAAAAGGAGGTAACCTGTTGGGTGCAAGCTTTATAAATAACTTGTTCATTCCTAGCCTTAAATCACAAAGATAGGACATATTACCAAGGATAATTTCCCCTAGAAAGCCTTCCAAGGAGTTAGTGGAAAGATCCAAAATTTTCAAGTTAAAGAGCTTTCTAAGATCATCAGGAATGTTTCCTGTTAAGTAATTGCTAGAAACATCTAACACCCTTAAGTAGGAAAATCTCCCTAAAAATGCTGGAATTGTTCCATTGAACTGATTATCTTTAAGAATTAGTTCTTCCAATTTGGTCAAATTTCTAAAGAATAATGGGATTGGGCCATTTAAAGAATTTGAAGCCAAATTCAAGTACACCAGGTCCTTAAGTTGGCCAAAGCTTTCTATAAGATCTTTCAACTCATTGTGACTCAAATCCAGTTCTTGTAAATCATTGTTAATGCAAACTGATATATTTTTTATGCTTCCATATGTTTCTCCTTCAAATTTATTGTTAGGAAACAAGTCCAAGGATTTTAGATTGCAAGTGAGTTTGGAATTCCAAGGATGAGAACTTTGGAGAACAGAGAATTTATTGTTGGAAAGATTGACATGTTGAATTCTCTTGATGAAGCACAATGGAATCGTAGAGATTAGATTATTGCTAGAAAGGTCAAGGAATCTGAGTGAAGTTATGTTCTGAATAGCAATAGGAAACAAATAGAAAGTTTATTCCTGGCTAGATTCAGATGCACTAGAAACATGAACTCTCCTAACCATAATGGAATTGAGTCCAGAATATTGTTGTCAGAAATATCAAGGGATGTAAGAGATGAAAGGTTTTAAATAGCAGTGGAGAATAACCCAAAAATACTATTCTTGGCTAGATTCATATGTTTTAGAAACCTCAACTTTGGAACAAAGTCAATTAAAATGGTACGAGAAAGGTCAAAGGATCTAAGGGGTGTCATGTTTTGCAAAGCCTTGGGTATGACATCAAGAAAGTTTCCACCCAAGATTTAAGACTTGAACCTTGGAAGGAAGGGTGGAGGAGTTAACAAAACCACAAGAAGTACTGGAGCTATAAATTCCACAATACATAAAGTCTGCTTGTAATAAGAATGGGAGATTGTAAATTACCTGCATTATGATATTGATATCATTCTCAATATAAAGTCCCCTTATGTTAATATATTGCAAAGAAGAAAGTTGGGAGACCCAAGTGAAGTCATCCATGTATAACTCATAAACAAGAAAGTCATGCCCGTAAAATTCATTAAGATCAATAATTTGCAAGTTGGTGAGGTTTCCTAGATAGTGTGGTAGCCTCCTCGAAAAGAAACAGTAGGAAAGATTAAGGTACCTTAGTTGTTTCACGGACCCAAGGAATGATGGGATTGGACTAAGTTGAAAATCAATGAGGCTTAAGTCCAAATGACTCAAATGTTTCAACTCCAGCAAGGAAGGACTCATTGCTTTACATGACAATGTGCAGTTATGAATTGTTTTTGGGCTGAGATCAATCCTGACAACATACCCAGTGATGCCATCACATTTGACCCCTTTCCATCTGCAACATTGTTTGCCTTCCTATGCAAGGACATGCCTTGAGTAATGGTTAAAGTTGTCTCTAAACATCAAAAGAGCATGCCTCTCTTCTTCTATGCAGCCCTCATCAGTCAAATTCCTACACAAACAGAGTTGTGAAGCCTCAAAAGATAGCAGAAAGAAAATCAAAAGCACGTCACTCAAAGATAGTCTCATGGTTGCTAAATGGTTATAATGCTCAATCAAGGAATGTTATGGGTATGGAGACGATGAGGTTGTTGCTGTTAATTTATAGATGTGACTAAAGAATATTGAAGAAGATCCATACATTAATTTTTGCTATACGGAAGACTTGAGTCAATGCTAATTTATGTAATGGTTTAGATCCAACCCCACTTATTTACTCATAATTAATTTTTCATAATTGTCATTAAGAAGACCGAGTCAATAATGGTTACTTGTGCTGCTTTAAAGACTCACCTATAACATAGAAGAAAAAGAATGCACATAGATTAATTATTGAAGTACATTTTATTCAAATAAATACTTAGTGATCAAATGCCTTTTGACTATGTGGTGCATAATAACCAATTGAACACCTACGCGCCACGTGTAGTACAAGGAAATTGTATGATTTTTAGATACAATGTGCAAATTAAAAGAAATTCAGAAGTAATCGTCAAAGACTTCCACTACGTAGCTTTGCATCGACTTGCTGGCATAAAGTTTCGTTGTAAAGTATTTTAAAACAGAAATAATTATCATATAACAACAACAACAACAACAACAACAACAACAACAATCAACATCAAATTAGGATTGCTATATCTAATTATTGAAAACTCTCTTATAAGAAATCTCAACATAATCCACCATGTCTTGTACTCAACCACATGAACAGTAGAATCTGCAAATTAAACCAGCCTGTAGCTATTTCGTTTAATTTTCAGTTAGCAACAGGCACTTTTTACCTCAAAATAACACTCCCTCTCTCCTAAATGTAGAAGCTAGATAATTAATTCATAACAATTAAATAAATTCATTTAGTTATTTAAAAAAAAAATCTCTCGAGTCCAAATTGTAATCATCTTTCAACTATATTCAATTATATCTTTATTCTTAATAAAATATATCATAGGTTTTTTGTTAACCCTTAACACCAACTACTAGTGATGAAATAAATTAGAAAGATTATTCATGTAAATAATTTGTTAGTGAGAGATGTCACAGGGAAAAGCCAAAATGATATAAAGCTCACCAATAAAACTAACTAATAGAGTGAATAAGAGGTGATACCTTCCCATGCATGCTACACAAGAAACTAGGTTAATAAATACAATGGTAAAATGACAAAAATAATTTTTAAAAGGTATCTTATATTTTTGACCAATAAGGTTAATTAGAAAAATGTCTTACAATTTGGATTGGAAGGAGGGAATATCTATCAATTTTCTAAAACTACCCATCCTTTGAATCATTTACACTGGAAATTGCTCCTATAGATTGAATCAATACGATATATAGTTTGGGAAAATATAATAAATTTAGAGACAAATTTAGATCGAGAATCTTATATTTATTTGATTATAACAAACTCCTTCATTAATTTCTACATTTAAGATTACAGAAAGTAGTCTATAGAACTCACTTACCAATTAAATCCAAATTCCATTTTCAAAGGTTCAAATCAAATTATTATATAGAAATTAAATTTCACTTGAAAAAAGCCCAAACTCTTATCATACAGCCATGAACTTGCATGCAAGAATTTGTATAGGAAATCTTGAATACACATAATTTGCTAAGATTATTCATCATTTTTTCTTGGACAATAAAAACCATATAGTGTTAATCCCTGTTAAATATCAACGCCTCTCTCTCTCTCTCTATATATATATACATATGTACGTACATACATACATACATACATATATATATATATATATATATATATATTTCCTTCATTTCCTCACCTTTTATTTATCTAGAAGGTTCACATGGTGGATTGAGAGAAAGAGAGAGGGAGCAGACTGGTGAGTGTTGAGTCAATTAATGGTAACTTGTCTAATGGTTTAAAGACTTTAAGGCAAGATTGTTTAATCTTTTTTTCATTGAAAAATTAGTTATTATTTTAAAAAATATTTTTAGAATATTTTTTGATATTTGTTTATATTGTTAAAAATAACCAAAACCTGAAAGAAAAAGCAAATTTCTGATATATTGTGAGAAATTACTTTAAGTTCATTTTCTGTATGAACATGTGCTACAGGATACTCAATTTCAATTCCAATGGACATATAATAATCATTAAATGCCAGAGATGTAAACTTAGCAATATTATCAAAGCATATTTTCTTAATTGAATGATCAGGAAAATGAGCTCTTAGTCGAATTAATTTATCAAGCAATCTTGCAAATGCCTGATTGTGAGATGATAGTAAACAAACATGTGACCATCTAGTTGATGCATCAATCAAAATTATAAAATATCCAAATGGTCCACATGGTGGGTGAATTGGCCCATAAATATTGCCTTACATGCACTCTAAAAAGTTTACCCATTTGCTCCTAATTCTGGTTGGTGATAGTCGGATAATCAATTTTCCTTCAGAGCAAGCAACACATGAAAAATCCTTTGATTGAGGAAGCTGCTGACTCTTCAAGTCATGTCCGCATGTGCTTTCTATTATTTTTTGCATCATAAGTGATCTGGGATGGCCTAATCGATCATGCCAAGCAAGGAATATGGGATTTGTAAACTTCTGGTTTACAATTACATGTGATTTTATTGTACTAACTAGGCTCTTTCTTGTGCATTGCACTGGTTAGAATTGAGGAATTTGGAAAAAAATATAATTGATGCCATGGATAAGGATGGATGCGAGATTGTTATATTTCAAGTGTTATTCTATACACTATTTTCCTTTTTAGATGTTTGATTTGTTAACATCTTGTCTTTGTTTCTCAATCCTATAGTAAGTTACAGGTAAAGTTGAAAACATCTAATTTTTGATGATTCCATCATACATTATTGAGTTGCGAAAAGAATGAGATTTTAATAAAAAATCAAATAAGAAGATTGGTTAGATTGCATTTTCTTACAATGCATTATTTCTACAAAGAATACATAATATGGATACATTTATTCAACTTTAATATAAAACATCTTGTTTTTCCCCTCATACAACATTTTGAAAAATTTTCTTGTAAAACTATATTTGTCGTAGATGTCAATTGCCTACATTTATTCAGAATGGATACTTCTCATCAATGAGGAAGAATGAAATGTTCCAGACATGGTAAGGAGGATTTTTCTGGTTTATGTGCCATTTTCTCAAGACTCTGATGACAATACAACATGTCTCCATGGAGTCATTGATGTCTTGAACAAAGTCATGCTCATCGAATTTCATCTTTGCCTTAGATGATTTAGGTACACAATCTAATTAAGAAGAATTAAAAAGAAGAATAATTATGTTTAGAAGGAAAGAATGTAGAGTATTAAAATCTAGGGCCTTTTATAAATGGATGTAAGCAATAAGAAGCATATTGAAAAATATTGTAATTCATTAGGTGTTTGGAATAAGAGGAAAATAATTCTCACTGCATCATTAAATGTAATTAAATTAAATTAAATTGATAAATGACACATAAATTATCAGAAAATGAATGTTTCAGTTTCTCAAGGGGCACTACAATGAGAGACTGTTGGTTGGAAAATCAATTAGTTATGAATTTAATAGAGGAATATTAGAAGAATGGTTTTCTAAGTTTTAATGAGATAACCAATAATTTAAGTCTTCAAAATTTAATCCTTCCCAATACTCGAAGTGATTGAGATTTAATTTTTTTTATGTCAAGTATTGAAACTGGTATTAGGAATCAAAATTTAATTTTTCCTAATATTCGAAGTGCTTGGGATTTAATTTTTACTGTCAAGCATTAAAATTAATTTTTCTAATATAGCATAAATTTATAATTAAAAATTGATGATTCTAATAGTCTGTGTTTGAAAAGTTTAGAACATGTGTTCTACCTAAAAGTAAAATCTCAAGAAAGACATTTATCATAAGACAAAATCAAGTATAAGATTAGATAGTCAAGGCAAGATTACTCATGCTGATGATCTTTTAGATTTACAGCTATTCAAAGCAATAGAAAGGACTTGCCTTAGCTCTAGTTCCTTGACTTACGTAGCATACCAATTCATCATTTGCTCTCAATTCATATAATTAATAAAGTAAAAAAAAAATGAAGAAGAACAATGGAGACCTCTCTCTATTTAAGAATCTTCTACAAGACTTGTGTTAGTGCCATAGCTTTAACATATTGAAATCCAGTCATGACATGTTCTGGAAGGACTCAAAAATAAAAATAGCTTTATATACATACACACACACAGAGAGAGAGAGAGAGAGAGACATATAGATGTGTGTGTGTGTATGTGTGTGTGTGTGTGTGTGTATTTTAACAATGATCCATTTTATCACTTAACAAAGAGCCAAAGACTTTGATTAGATCTAACTGTTTGTGTTTTCTTGCCTACCTTCAATTCATTAATTACCCTCTTCAAACGTTTTTGTCCTTTAGGCTCCACTAACTCCAATTTTGGCATCTTATTTTTTGATTTAGACTTCATAAACAAAACGCATGTATAATATATAGTCCATGTATATACCAAGATATAGTTCACGCAAGCCCTCCACTAACCTCTGATATATATATATATATCATAAACATTATGTTACATCAGATTGATTATTTGTGATAGTAGGGACAATGATCAAATGTTATACATACACCAGTAATGTTGGAACATGTACTTGCATTTTGAGTTATGAAACTAAAGCTCATTATCATTAGGATCATCGAAGGGGAAATAATTGAGGCCAAAATGAATAGAATCATCGACCCTAAAATCCAAAGAGCCACCAGAACATGAATACACATTATCTGCATTATCATCAGATCCCAAGGGCCCTACTATTGTAGCCTCAAATAGATCTTTGAGATCAAGTTTCCTTCGATCAAAGTTGACAGACCTGTACAAGCACTAATAGTAGATGAAACCATAAACTGATCTGGCTCCAAACCCATTAATTGAGAACTATGAAACAGTAGCAAGATGTCTTCATAGAGCCTATTTAGTACATATACTGCCACCATAGAACTCCATGTTATAAGGCTTATTTTTTGCATGCTCTGAAATACCTGATTTGCATCTTTTATTGAAGAGCACTTAGCATAAACATCCTTTAAAGCAGTTCCAACAAAAATATTTGAATCTATAAAAGCTTTAATACCGAAGTTTTTAAAGAAATTAGTTAGCTTGGATCACATAATAGAAAACAAATAAGGGAAAATTAAAGAATAAATAAAGTATCAAAATGGAAGGAAGAATAGATGGAATAAACCTGCTAACCAGATTCAAGACAACGAAATACTTCCTTCAACAAAGCACAGCGTGAAATACTTCCTTCCGCAAAGCACAGCTATCTAAACTCAATGGCTAAATCAAGATTTGCCGTGAATACTTCCATAGGCATGGCACGATCAATGCTAGATAAAAAGAGCTGATCCATAAACAGGACAGGGAGGTTATCAAACTTGGATGCTAAATCACTGAAAGTTAGATTCCAAGATGAAATTGGTTTAGTCATGATGAGGGTTTTGGAAATTAAGAAGGAATGAAGAGGGGTTCATGAATTTAGGCAACAAATGTGACTATGACTTTGAGGTTCAAGATTTGCTAAAAGGATAAAAGGATCTACTAATGTACCACGATCACATTTTACAAGCATGAGGATATGATTTTCAAAGCATTAGCTGATGCCAAACAGAAACCCTAAGAGAAAACATAGCAATGACCTTCGAAGCTTCATTAGCCAATGCCGAACAAAAATCGTAGGAGAAAACAAATCGATGACCTTCGAAGAGCAAAGGAATGAGATTGGCAGGGAAATCATTCGCTGCCTTTGAAAAGTTTAATGCTCCCGTAATGGTAATTAATAATAAGATATAAAAATAAACAATTTAAAATATATAAAGGTTGATTAAATGAATGATAACCAATCAGAGTCCTTTGTTAATATATATTGATTGATATGTGTGTAGTACAATTTGGAAGAGAATGCGAGTAATTTTTCCAATAAACATTTATCATTTAAGATACTTTTTGTGATATATAGATATTCAACATCCTTATCATTTATCGTCTCAAGGTGATATCCATTTTTCTAGATGTCTTCGAAGCTTAATGAATTCCTATGAGACTTAGAGGAATATAATGCATTATCAATATACAAATTTGTTCCTCTTAGTAATATTATACTAGCTCTTGTGGAGCCTTCAATTAATTTTGTACTACCAGATATAATACTAATATAAGCTTCCTTTCTTATTAAATTTGAAAAAATCTTATATCATTGAGAATTGTATGTGTCGTAGCACTATCCATAAGGCATATACTCGCATAATTATATTGGTGCCGACCATAAAATCAGCCATTCTTCAAAATGTTAAAAATAAATATAAGGATTGATGTGCTAAAATACGTAAAATATAAATTCTAATAAATTATAAACTTTTACATAAATTAATATTCCATAATCAACTTCAATATTCTAGAAATGCATAAAATTATAAAAAGGAATATGTGAAACCTAAAATGCAAAAAACATAATTTATGTTTGAACTATTTCATCATCAATAAGGTGCCCAATGTTTCCATCTGGGTCAGAGAGGAAATCGGCAATGTCTAAATTAGAGACATCCATATTATCATCAAGATCATTATTGTAAGATACGAGGTTTGTCTCCACTTTATTCTCCCTTTTTAGGGTCTCGATGAAGGTCAATAAGATGCCTTGGGGTACGACGGGTACGAGTCTAGTGTCTAGTTTCACCACAACAATAACATTTTTTCAACAATTTGATTACTTACTCCACCTCTTTTATTGTTGCATTTTGCAATTTGTCGCTTCGGATGGGGAGTCTTGTGATGTAAGTCTCTACTTTGACCTTACTTATGTCCATGACCAAGACCACGATCGTGACCACAACTGTGACTGTTAGTAAAACCTTGACCATGTGGTTCCACATGAATATGGTGGTCATGTATTGCTGCATTCACTTCAGGGAATGGAGCAATGTCAGTTGGATGTGACTCATGGTTTTTCATCAATAACTCATTGTTTTGTTCAATAAATAAGAGACATGATATTAGCTCTAAATATTTCTTAAATTCTTTTTTGTGATATTGCTGTGGATAGCTTCTAGATCCACTTTAGTTTTTGTGGATATCTCTAGGATTCACTTCATATTTTTTATCTAGATAACTTCATGATCCATTTCATATTTTATATGGATAACTTCAAGATCCATTTTATGTGCGGATAACTTCAGGATCCACTTTTCTTAAAATTATATATATAGATAATCAAATGAATTATATATATATATATATATAGACAAGAAAATAGAAATAAGAAATTAAATGTAGAATAAATAAGTAAATAAATAAATAAATACTTAAATTAGATATCTTCAGGATATATATTATATCACATGGATAACTTTAAGATCCACTTTGAGTTTTGTGGATATCTTCAGGATCCACTCTATGTTATGTATGGATAACTTCTGAATCCATAGTTTCTAAAATTTAAATTGTGCCCCCATCTATATTAGAGATGTTCATAGGCATGAGCATAAATTTCTAATGCACTAATAGAATAAATGAAAGTAAACTTAAGAATAAAAAATAAAAATACATACCTAGTGATGGTAGAAGAAAAACAATCCTGCTGATAAAGTGTTATGAAATAGAGGTTGAGAGTATAAGAGAAGAGAGAATACTGCACTGAGAGAATAAAAAAATAGGGAGCTTTCTTATTTAGTGTATCGAAAACAACAAAGGTGCCTTCTATTTATGGGCACAAATATATTAATTAAAGTGAATAAAATATATAAGATAATAATAATTGAAAGATATTATAGTAACCAAAAGATATTGGAGAATTTGAGATAATAGACATCCACATGATATCTTAATATTCGTAACAATGTTAAAGATGTAAAGCATTTTAGATTTTTCAACTCATAATTAATAAAGTTTTTTTCAAAAAACCCTCAATTAAAAGTGTAATTAACAAATTTTATATTTAAAATACTATATTAAATAAAGATAAACATGAAAAGATCACCTATGATGAACACCAAGTTACTTATTACCTATGATGAGATTTGGACATTTAGACTTAAAAATTTTATTTTTATCAAATTTAAATTTTTTTTAATAAATCTGTTCAACATCAATGAAGCCAGTACTAATTTTTTAATAAAATTGGTTATTTGTACCTTCATAGAGAAGAACTTATTCTCTAGGAATAGAGGGGTGCAAATAACCAGTTTCATGCCACGCCTAACTTATAACATGACCTCAATTTATAGATTTAAATTTGTGATATTTGCAATTTGATCCCTAACAAATTATAAATATCATTCTTATTTCTAAACATTAATTCCATGACATATAATTACACCTCTCAAGTTTTATTTTTAAAAATAAATCATTTTATTTAAACTTAATTATAGGGGAAAATATATCTTTGATCTTTATAGTTTTATTGGGTTTTACTTTTAATTCCTGTAGTTTTTTTCTAATGTTGTTAGTCCCTATAAGGACTAAAAACACTAAAAATATAGAAACTTAGAAAACAAGCATTTTTTAGTTTTTCCGAAATTATAAGAACTAAAAAACACTAAAAAAAACTACAAAGATTAAAAGTAAAACCTGATAGCACTATAGGAAGTGATGATAATGTTTTCCCTAATTATAATAATGGCCACACAATTTTAATATTTACATAATTAGAATACGTTGAATTTTATTCCAGCATATGGATCCAATGTTTAAAGCTCCACAACAAATCGCTCGTGTAAAATGCCGAGTCAGTGAGTCCTGTCAAATTTTCACCATTAATGAAGTAAATTATTGTTAATGATTTTCGTATGAACAACAGGTTTTTACTTCTTAAATTAGCAACTGGATTTCTCCAAAAATAAGACCAAAAGTAGTGATGAATCATTGCAGATCACAGGGATTGCCTAAGAATCATCGAGTAACCATCCTTTGTAGCGTAGCAACCTTTATCATTCCCATTCTAAATTAATTTATCTTTAGTATTGAACAAATACTGCAATTTTTAAAATTCTTCTGTAGCTGGAGGTTCCTAATTATCATGAATCAACTTATCCACTGTCTTAGATCTTATGATCATCACAAATATGAGCATAGATAAATAGAGGGACTAAAACCCAGAAGGTTAAGAAAAAAAAGAGGAAAAATTACATTAAATGACCATTTAAAGACTTATTCATAGACAAAGATCAATAAAAAATGAATGGTTATTAAAACAGGAATATCAACTCGTTCACAAATAAGTCAACTGATTATCCCATGTCTCAGATCTTATGATCATCACAAATGAGTCAACAATCCATCAGTATATATAGATGAATAGAGGGCAAACCAAGAAAAAATAGAGTGCCTTCCGTTAACTAATGGAGGAATCTTTTGCATTTTGCCTGAAGATAGCTTTGGAGCTATTTAAACACCTGAATTTTTTTTTTTTTGGAAAGAAGGTTTGAAGAAAAAAATTACATTGGCTACAAACCAATTTACATTAAAAGGGGGTATTATTACACGTAAGGGAAAATAAACAAGGCATAAACCAAAAAGTCCACAAACAAATTAAAGAAACAAATGAATATAACCTAAAAATTGTGAATCTCCAATCAACAACATAGTATACATATTTTGCATTTATAAATAGATGTTCTTATTTAAATTTTAAATCATTTACAACCTTATGATATATTGAGTATTATTTGTTGAAAAATCAATCATTCTTATTTTGCCAAAAAAAAAACTAAGTGACACCACGCACAAAAAAGTCACTCTAAGCTTGCGCATAATAGTCTGTTCATCTTTCTAATTTGCACAAAAACATGTTGCGACATAAATAATTTAGGAAGCGTGTATCGAAATCCACATATAAACATTAGCATTTTTAAAATATCATCAGATGTTCTGTTAAAAAAAATATCATCAAATGTTGAGCATTCACTGGATATTTCTTTGCTTCCATATAAACATCACTATAGATTGAGAAAATAGGGTGATATACACCTCAACAATTTGAGTGCTAGGTTCAATAAGAATTAAGCTAACTTCTTCTTTTTAGATATTAACACACTTTCCCAAGTTTCAAATTAAATTATTATGGTAACTAATTAACTTTCAATAGAAATAAGTCCAAACTCCTATCATAAAGCCATTAGAACTTGAATGCACATAACATGCTAAGGTTATTCATCATGTTTTCTTTGGACAATAAAAACCACATGATATTAATTCCAAATATGAAATAAATAGAGAATAAAAAGCTAAACTACAACACACAAAGTGTACCTAGTCCCTTGCTTAATTACTTAAAAACATTCATTTCCAAATTAAAGGACAAAACTGACAACATACAAAGTGGTTGGGGGAGAGAAACATCCCATCCCTTATATGAACGACAACTCAGAAATATTACACCAGACATAAAATCTCTCACCATGGTCTCAATCCTATTGTCTTGTGCCTTGCTACCTTTATTGCTACTGCTACATATATTTCATCTGCTATTTGCTCCATATATCTAAAGCAAACATACCTTAGACTCTTGTTGAACACTAGGAGTCCAATAACTCCCCAAAACCCTGTTATGAAACCAAGAGCTACAACAAAGTAAAACACAATCTTTTCATCTCATTCATGTCTTCAGCATGGACGCTTGTTGGAGCTTCATTGTTGCGGCACTTTATTAGCACTGGTTCTCCGCAGAGATATTGATTTCCAACATAAATGGATGAGTCTTCAAGAGTGAGGAATTGGTTGCCTCTGGAATGGGCCCTGAAAAGTTATTGTATGACAAATTCAAGTGGCTCAATGATGTCAAAGAAGACATGCTACTTGGAAGTGGGCCTTCAAGATGGTTCCATGAGAGGTCCAATGATTCTAGAAACTTCATTTTCCCTATTTTGCTTGGGATTTCTCCTGATAAAGAGTTGTGTGATAAATTCAAGCTAACCAATCCAGTGAGAGAAGTTAGAACTTCTGGTATAAAGCCAACAGGGTTGTTGCTTGACAAGTCCATGTTAATTACAAACTTGAGATTTTTTGTGAAATCAAGTTCTCTTCCTTTCATGAATTGCTTGACATCTTCTTTCTCCCATTGATCAAAGGTAGGAGTAATTGGTGGAGGATGAGTTCCAATTGTTCTATTACTGATGACTATAGTATTTGCAGCTGCAACAGGAAAATGGAATTCAATAGGAGCAGCTCCAAGTTTAGAATCTTCACTAGCCCTTGATCTACTATTAATGCATGATTGATCATCATTCCCTTAAGATTTCGAATGCAAAAAGGAATTGTGCCATTTAAGTTGTTACTTGCTAGATCCAAACTTTGCAAGTAAGGGAGTTGGCAGAGGCTTGATGGAATACTTCCACTAAATTTTTTTTTGGCGAAGTCTAAGAATTTTCAGCCCAAGAGTACCTTCCCATATATTGAAAGGTATAATGCCATGTAGATTATTGTTGCCAAGATCCAAAATCTCCAACCTGTAGCAAGATCGCAAGGTTGATGGAAGCTCTCCATGCAAACTATTGTTGCTCAAGTTCAAAGATTGAATATAATTAACAGTACCATAAGAACCACAAAAGGATTTAGGAATGGTGCCTGATAACTTATTTGATGATATATCTATCAATCCAAGGTATATAATTTCACCCAAACAACTAGGAATCTCTCTAGAGAATTTATTTTTTGAAAGATCCAAATCTTGAAGCCATTGCAATTTACACAGTGAATTTGGGATAGAACCATTCAAAAGGTTATTTCCAAGGGATAGATTGGTAAATATGGCATCATATCATGGAGATTTCTTGGGAGTTGTCCACTAATCTTATTATCAGAGAGATCAAGCACAATGAGGTTCTTTTGTTGAAACCATGTTGGGAGGAGGGTTCCCCAAAGGCCAGTGTTTGATAAGTCTAAGCTGACTAACTTCTTTTGGCTTTGAAGCCATTGAGGAAATGGGTGTGTCAATTTTGCAAGATGACAAATTAAGATTTATCAATTGGAAAAGAGGTAACCAATTGGGTGCAAGATCTATAGATAACTTATTCATTCCCACCTTTAAATCTTGGAGATTGGGTAGATTACCAAGGAGAGTTTTCCCAAGAGCACCTTCTAAGGAGTTAGCTGAAAGATCCAAACTTTTCAAGTTTTGAAGCTTTGCAAGACTTTTAGGGATGTGACCTTCTAGGTGATTTCCAGAAAGATCTAACACCCTTAAGAAAGAGAATCTCCCAAAAAATGTTGGAATTGTTCCGTTGAAGTGATTATCTTCAAGAATTAGTGCTTCTAATTTAGTAAAATTTCTAAGGAATAATGGAATGGGGCCATAGAACATATTTGAAGCCAAATTCAAGTGCACAAGGTTCTTTAGTTGGCCTAAGCTTTGTGTAAGATATTTCAACTCATTGTGACTTAAATCCAGTACTAGTAAATCTTTGTTAATGCATACTGATATATTTTTAGAGCGTCCAAATGTTTCTCCTTGAAATCTATTATCTTGCAATAAGTCCAATGATTTTAGATTACAATTGATTGTGGAATTCCAAGGGCAAGAACTCTGGAGAATAGAGAATCTATTGTTAGACAAATTGACATGTTGAATTCTCTTGATGATGCATAATGGAATTGCAGAAATCAGATTATTGCTGGAAAGGTCAAGGACTCTGAGGGAAGTAATGTTCTGAATAGCAGGAAAGAAACTAGTAAGTTTATTCCTAGCTAGATTTATATGGGCTAGAAATGTGAACTCTCCCAACCATAATGGAATTGAGCCAAGAATATTGTTGTCAGAAATGTCAAGGGATGTAAGGGATGACATGTTTTGAATAGCAGTTGGGAGCAAGCCAGAAATTCTATTCCTTGATAGATTTAGATGTGCTAGAAACCTTAACTTTCCTAACCATAATGGAACGAAGTCAATAAAGTTATTCGAAAGGTCAATGGATCTAAGGAATGTCATGTTTTGGAAAGCCTCAGGTATGACATCAAGATTATTTTCCCTAAGGTTCAAGACTTGAACCTTGGAAGTTAGGGTGGAGGAGTTCACAAAACCATAAGAAGTACTATAGGAGAAAAATCGACAATACATAAAGTCTGCTTGTAACAAGAATGGGAGATTGTAAATTACCTTCATTATATCATTGATCCCATTCTCAATGTGAACTCCCCCCATGTTAATATATCGCAAAGAAGAAAGTTGAGAGACCCAAGTGAAGTCATCCACGAATAAATGCTGATCCCTCAATTTAATCAAGACATTCATGTAAACTCTATTGAGATCAAGAATTTGCAAGTAAACTCCATTAAGATCAAGAATTTGCAAGTTGGTGAGGTTCTCAAGATGGCGGGGTACTGTCCCATTAAAGCAACAATGGGAAAGATTAAGGTATCTTAGTTGTTTCAGAGAGCCAACGAATGATGGGATAGGACTCAATTGAAAATCAATGAGGCTTAAATCCAAGTGGGTCAAATGTTTCAACTCTAGCAATGAAGGACTCATTGCTCTACTTGACAATGTACGATTATAAAACCACCCACCGTAGTAATCTTTGTTGATTAATTTCTCCGCTATCAGAATTGTTTTTGGGCTAAGATCAATCTTAGTCACATGACCAGTGATGCCATCACATTTGATCCCTTTCCATCTGCAGCATTGTTTGCCTTCCCATGCGAGGACATGCCTTGAGTAATTATCAAAGCTATCTCTGAACTTTAAAAGAGCATGTCTCTCTTCTTCTATGCAGTTATCATCAATGAGATTCCCACATGAGCAGAGTTGTGAACCTGCAAAAGAAAGTAGAAAGAAAATTAAAATCATCTCAATGCAACCACTCAGAGACTGTCTTGTGCTTGCTAAAGGCATTTAATGCTTAAGCAATGGAAGTTATGGACGAGAAGACAAAAGGGGGATTGGTGTTTATAGGAGACTTGAAAATGAGGATGATTGATAAATTCATACTCCCTCTAGTCCTATTTATAGAGTAAAGAATAGAATTTTTTTTATTTTTTTATAAGTCACGTCATTAAATTTTCATTACAAATTTTCTCTTTTATCCTCTATTAAATGTTAGAGAGAGAAAATATGTTATTAAAATATGTATATTTAATAGGGACAAAGTTGAGAACTTATTAAATTTTAAGATGGAGTTAATAATTTTTAATGTTTTTCTTAATAATGGTGAAACATGTTGAAAGTGACTTATAAATAAGATCGGAGAAATAGTTGGGATATATATATATATATAGAGAGAGAGAGAGAGAGATAGATGAGTGAATGTTGAGTAAATTATTGATAACTTGTCTAATGGTTTAAAGACTCTCATGGCAATTTTATTTAAGTTTTTTTCATTAAAAAATCATTTATTTTTTTAAAAAAATTACTTTTAGGAGATTTTATTGTGCCCTGTTTAAAGGGAAAATTATTGCTAAGGACCTAGAGAAAATAATATTTACTAGGAAGGATCTTAAAAATAGTAATTATTGAGAAGGATCAAATGCCAAAGTATAAATTTGAAAATACAAAATTGTCCTTAATCAAATCTCCTATATTTTTCTAATCATATCTCAAATTGGATTTGACAATTACGTTACCGGCAATGTAAATTAACAAATAATCCTTTGTTTAAACTCTTAACTATAATCAAAAGATGAAAAAAAATTTGATTATTTTGAGAAGTTACTTTAAGTAATTTCTGAAGATAATTAGACACACACATATATGAGAGAGAATTTTTATCAAAATATGAAGATGCACAAATATATTATAAAATTCAAATCTTAAGTGAATCAAAAATTATTTCTCTTGCATAAAGATCCATAAAAATATCATAAAACTTTAAAATTATTAAATAATAAAATATTTTTTTAAAATCTCCAAAACATTTACAACATTTAAAAATCCCTTATTATTGAACAAACGTATTTGACGGTATATTCTAACTTGTGAAGTGGTGCAAAGACTCAACTTTAGTCACATGTTCATGTTAGCTATATGAGAAGAGTCCTTCAACGCTAACTTGTGGAATGGTTCTGAAGAAGGAAAACCGAAGAACATGCAAGAGGAAGTCCTATTGATGTTAACAACACTTGGCAATATATTTTGTTAATTTCCAAATTGATGAATTTCCCAGAAAAATATTTCATATATATAATGATGGAACCAAGATCAGTGCTACCTTGTGATCGTGATTTATGTTGGACGGAATATGATATGTATTTGATATATAATAATTTTTAATTCTATACAATTTATGTACTTTTGCGCTTATTTATTAATTTTTTTGGCCCTAAAACGTATATATGTATATTTGTAATAATTTTTTTTATAATATCATAATTATATTTTTATAATATAAAAAAGAAAAAGAAAAATGAGGTACCATTGGTATTGTAGATCAACATTACCAAATGGTACCCAAATTACAAAAGCTAAAGCTAAAGATGTAAACCAAGTGGATGCAGTGCGGAAATTAACAGTCCGAGTCGTATCATTCTAGAGTTTGATTCTATCCTAAAAAAATTTAAAAAAAAAAAGAAGAAGATAAAGATGTACGATCAAGCCAAGTTATTTATAGATGTTAAACACGCTTTTGCCAGGTTCAAGTAATAGTGTTTGTAATGATTGAATTTTACTTGATCTTTGATATGTTTTATTGGATGTTTCTTATAGAATATCCATTGTTTTGGAATATTCAAAAGTTACCAAAGCCTTTCATCACCTATATATATAGGTCTTTCTTATTGAAGATAATTTTATTTAAAATATTTTTAGATATTAAATGTAAGTACTTTTTCTAATGAAGATTTAAACTTTAATTTCTTACTGTAAAGTATTATAAAACAGAAACAATCAGCATATAATAAAATCAAAAAGTCAATGTCAAATTGGGATCCGTTTATCTAATCATTGAAAACTCTCTTATAAGAAATGGGCATAATCCATCATTTGTCATTTTCAACCGCATTGAAAACCTATCTTTCCAAGCTTCAATTTTAGCTATCTTCCCATATATACTTACAAAAATGGATGACTGAAGAACGCACAAGAGGAAGTCCTATTGATGTTAACACTTGACAATATATTTTATTAATTTTACATTCTTTTAATTTCTCAATTATTTTGTCTTAGATTTATATATGTGTGTGTGTGTGTGTGTCAGTTGTTACGTTAAGTGAGACTGTTATTCCTCACCATAAATTTATATGGCATGTGATATATTGTATATGTTATATTGGTGGGATAGTTATTTCTCACATGATGAATAATGAAGAGATATACATTTACTATATTGTGGGAAGGACAGTTATGCCCCACTAGTAAATAATGAAGATATATATATATATATATATATTATTGTAAGTGGGGCATTTATTCCCTACTAGGATTAATAATGAGTGATGATTGAAAGATTGTTTGCAATTGAGTGTTTAATGACATAATTGTTTGAGATGAATTTATGATCAAAAGTAGTGACTGATATGCACGCGCGCGCGAATCTAAGATAAAATACTTGAGAGATTAAAAGAATGTAAAATTAATTAAAAGAAAAATATAAGAATATTTGAAATAAAAATGTTTTCCTCCTTTAGAAAATAAACCAATTTAAATTTTGAAAAAACCAAAATCAAAACCAAAATCAATTATAAACATATAAGGAAAAGAGGAGAAAATATAATAATATTTTAGAAGTAGTGTTGCTAACGTTAACAATCATAATCATCATTTATATCACATAATCATCATATCAGTCTCATATTTCAAGAACAAATCATATCTAATAAATTACCAAAATAAAAACTAGACCAAAATAACAATTAAAACTAAATTTTGACTCAATCACTCTTACGATCTAAGGATCACAATGAAGAGAAGAAACAAGTTTTGAATTTGCTTCCCAAACAAATAGACAAGAACACAATCAAAATTTGATGAGATTGGAAAAGATAAATGCATGTGAAAACAAAAATTGTCACCTTGCTATTTATCCACTCACTGGTTGGGATCAATAATAGAAATCCCTTCTTACCCTTTCTATGACTTTGCACTAGTGAAGAAGTCTCATTAGCATCACCCAATAAAAGAGTGAAGCTTGCCAAGAAATAAAACCCTTCTCAATCACCAATGTCCTCAATTAGTTGGTGCTATTGTCCCTCAAAAGATACTTCGATTTCTTTTTTCCAGATAGTGGAACTCGTGCAAGGCTAAAAGGAGGATGAACCTTATTAAATATATTATCGTTAACATTACTTGTTGCAGCTCAATGAATGTTTGATTCGCAGGACGCAGCATTGTTGCATAAAACGATTAAATAGGAATTATTGTGGCTTCAATGAGTGTGGCGGCAGTGGTTTGGAAGAACGAGTAGATGAACTATAAAGAAATCTAGGGCTTTGTATGGTTAGATCTAATAAATCTAAATAATAATATATATTTATTAATATATCTTCTATATATGTATATAAAATTTAAAATACATTATTTTAAGGGTTTGTTGGAGTACTAGAAAATCCTACTATTATATATGGGATGACTATCATAAATATTTCACATGTATAACTTTAAAAATCTTAATTTTAAATAATAACCTATTAATTTATTTAGTTTAACTTAATTTATTTTTGTTCTCTCTATTAGGGTTACCACATAAAATAAAACTGAAAATATCCGCAAACACTTTAAGATCATATATTTCTTTCTCTCTTTAGTCTTTTAAGATAATGGAATTTCATGATTAAAGAAGTCTAATAAATATTGAACTTCCATGATCATACTTTATCATTATACTCTAGCTTTTCTCTTCCTAGTATTTCAATAATTGAAACATATATGCTTGAGGATGAAGCATACACAGCCGGTATTCAAGTGATTATATCCGAAGCAGTAAGCACCTATATTTTCATTACAAATATTTACATACAAAATTATCATCATAACACAAGAATTATATCTGCATGCTAAGTTCTGAGTTCTTCGCAAAAGATTCAGCAGCCATATCATCTGAACGCATTTCCTGCTGCTTAAGGCTCCGAGCAAACTTTGTGACTGAAGGAAAATGCTCTGGCGAAAATAAACAAGCTCCCATTCTCTGATACACGAACAGGTCCAGCACATTATTGTCTCCTGCTACAATATTCTTCTTAATCTGTTCAAATCCGCCAAAAGCACAAGAATCTGAATGGTTTTCTCCTGAAACCTCAACTCCATTATTCCTACAAGCAGCCATTATCTGTGGAAGTACCAACTCAGGACTTGACAGAATTTCTCGCGGCTGAACTGCATTTGTGAGGTCCATTCCAGGTAATATCATTTCACATGAACTTTTTGCAAAAACCTTTGCAACTTCATAACCGTCTCTTTTAACAGTGTTATACTTATAAAATCCAGCAGTCAGTTCAGAAGGATGCGATTGCATTCTGTACATATAGAGACATATATAGACACTTTAGTGTCACTGAAAGGTGATCTCCATGAGTTAAAGGCTGATTAGTATACCATGTGAGGAAGAAATGCCCAAATGGAGACCACCAAGACCCCATAGAGGATTTCCAGATGCTTCAGCATGTTGCTTGAGAATGCTAAGCATGTTTTTATCATAACACTGGAATTCTCCAGCCCTATAAGCTCCACTGCTGGTGGGTAGCTGGTGGTGAGATAGATATTGCAGCTCACAATCTGGCCTCAATCCCATTGAAATTCCCTGCAGTTTGGCATGAAAACTTTGTGAGTTACATAAATTCGTGGGAATTATAGCTAACTATTGTGGTTTGTAGTATACTAACTAGTCCTCTGATTATTGGCAAGGTGAAAAATAAGAAGCAGCTCTGATATGGTAAAATGATAAATAGTTTCTGTTGGAATATTTA